CATGCTGGATCAGGCCCAAAGACAGACCCCACATACAGGAACAGGCCCATAGACCAACCCCATGCAACTCTTTTGGTCTGCGGGCCCAGATAGATTGAGCACCACTAACATAAACTGTCAGTCTTATCATTCAGTTTAACAAAGATTTTGTTAAACAACTCAGTAATTATCCTTGATGCTAACACACAGATACTAAAACCATGAAATATGAGAAAGGATCATTATTAAAGAATATTATTGATTAATGAAAACAACGATCCAATAATTTTGCCAGTTTTGAGAACTATATTTTTTAACTCAGGAAAGTTGCCCTTATAAGTAAAAGAGTAGTGCAAGATTCTGATGTTGCTTCATTTAGGGAAAATACTAGAGATATATTATTTTAAGAATCTGAATAATAAAATTTTATGTGATGGCAATCTTTTAGTCTAAACTTCTAGATAATAAAAAAAAAATTGTTATCTCAATTCAATCCACTACATGGCAAAGTTAATTGGTCATAAATATTATTTTATGACAGCCCAAGCCCAGATTAAATTTTTTCTAATCATTATATAATAAAACTGTGGAATTCACAATAACAACTAGGCTGTCTTAAATTGTGTTTGAATTAACCAGGGAGTCAATTTAATTTCTGAAAGTTCACTGTTTCGCTATTGTTCAGGAAGAGAAGTTAAATGCACCCAAACCTTATGAAAGATCTCATTGCAGTTTCATGGTAGATGGGTTTTTTGTTTTGTTTTGTTTTGTTTTGTGTTGTTTTGTTTGGGGGGGGGGAGGCGGTTAAAGCAGAGTTTAAACCATTATGTTCCATATTAAAAATATAGTGTATCCTCCCTGAGACTGTAACTCTTATTCTTTGAATATTGAATGGATTTTTCTAAGAATTTAGAAGAGAATAGGTCAATTGGGCAAGTTCAAATCAATTAAAAGACAAGCTATTTAGAGATGCAAGGATCTTTGTGGGTAGTTATCTTTTACTGGACCAACTGTGTGACTGGGATAGGTTTAGAGAAGTTTTTGAATGGAGACCTTCTTCTTCTGGCCTTAGGTCTCAAATGCCCCACATTGTAAAGCTTGTCTAAGCCCTGGCCATTTTCTTCTCTGTCTCTTACTTCTCCTGGTAGAACTCAGCCAGAATGGGTCATTGGAGAGTGTTGCATAGTGGATTCAGTTTCCTGAGTCAGAAGCCACTTTAACAAAGGTTTCTTTATTCATGCCAGCAACACCCAGACAGCCATGAGACTCCCAAAATGCAATCTGCAAACGCAGAATCTTCCATATGGAGTGCTGAGCATGGACAAACCATAGAATCATAGAGAAGAGGGGCTGAAAGGGACCTCTAGTGGTCATCTAGTCTGACCCTCTGCCCGAGACAGGATCCTATCCATAGTTTCATAGTTGTTAGGGGGTGGGACTGTGCTCCTCACAGTTACTTTGTTGTGGTTCATACACTAGCGTGATGAGTGATTTGCTAAGACAAACAGACAGACAGAGCTGTTCTGAGACCTAGTCACAGCAGCAGGAGTCTTTCCTTGGGCTGTGGATCAGGCAGTAGGACCACCCCATGCCTTTCCTAGAGAAGACCTGCATGACTGGGGATCTCCTTAACAGCATGGAGCCCTCAGACACATTCTGTGCTCTTTGGAGCAAAGAAGCCTGGGCCTGGGACTGGCTGAAGAGTTGAGCTTGCTCTCCTGTGCCAGTGCTGCTGGTGCTGGCATGCCTGCAGGTATGAGCCCGCAGTCAGGAGCAGCCCTGGAGAGGCTCGGCACTCCCAGCCCAGCCTGTCCTTCCCCACTCTCCTTGCCCTGAAGGGCCAGCGGGACTGTGCTGCACCACAGACCTTCCTTATGTTCCTCCACTGGGGGTGTTCACTATGGGGAGACTACCTATCACAGCATATGCATCAGGCAGGCCCCAGTAATGGGTGCAGAGCATGGGGCTTTAGTTTCCATCATCTTTCCTAACACCTTCAGGGCTGTCCAGGGGTTGGAACTCCCCAGATAGTGGTAACCCTGATGGAAACTTAGGGCCAGATCCTTCCCCCACCAATTAAGCACCTAAGTGCACTCTTCTTCCACCCTGCTCAAATTTCTTCAAGTTATTAATACCAGATGTGGATGGGTCCTCCCCTTCCTTCCTGCTTAGCTGTCTTAAAGCTAAGGTGGCAGCATGTTACATAAATAGATGCATTACTGGATTTTCAGAGACTCAAGCAGGGTAGAATAGGCTCACATTCAGGCACTTAAATCCACTTAGATGCCTAACAGGGGGAGCAGAGTCCAACCCAGAGAGCACTCAGCTTCTGCATGCAGTGGTCCTGGGTTCCTAACTGAGACATCTCAGGAATGAGTCCTGGGTCAGAGGGTGAGGAGCTGCTGAGGAAAGCCAGGAGGTTGCCACGGGGCCAGTAGGTGTAGGGTTTGGCTTAGAGCCACAGCCCTTTTTTCTCTGACTCAGGTGCCCCCTCCACACCCCGCTCTGCTCCCCCCTTCTCTAGGATTTGCTCTGTCACAAAGAAGTCGAACATTTTTTTTTCAACGTAGTGCATGAGATGCTGTAGCCGTGATAGTCCAGAACTCTGCAAGAGATGAGGATTTCTTAGGGTGGTATCCTTTATTGGACCAGCTGTGCAGCTGGGATAGAGTTACCAGCTTTCCTATGCATGGCATCCTTCCTCAGGTCTTCAGACACCGCCTTCTGCTCTTGGGTGACCCTCCCTCCATACACCCTAACCCAGGCTCAGCAGCCCTCCCTCATCCTCATTTACACTCCCAGCATCCAGGGAGGTGCCCAGATCCTGGTCCACATCCAGACAGGGATGGTGTCAAGACCTGCCCCAGCCTGCGAGAGCAGATGCTGGAAGGCAAAGAGTTAATACTGTGACACCCAGCACTGCTAGAGGGCTCTGGTTATTGCTAAGGGAAGGGAAGCTACTCTGCTTTTGCTGCTCAGCAGATCCGGGGTTGAACTTCCCAGGTCAGAGACAGCTGCTGCCTCCTCCATTGTGATCCAGAAGCCAGGCTGAGCAGCTCAGCAGGATCTGTGCTGGGGAGAGAGCTCCATTACATCCCCTCGGTGCCCAGTCCAGGGGAGACTTTCTCCGGTGGCTGGATCCTGCCTTCCAGAGCAGCCCCAGGCTCTGCTGACACCAGCTCCTGAGCTGGAGACTCCAGGTAATGGGGACAGACCTCAAGGAGGGAAGAGTTAGGGTTAGGGCAGGGACTTTGCACACACAGCACCTCTGCACCCACCTCAGCAGCTCTGGGACCCCCTTGGAGCAGTCACACACAGGCTCTCACTCCCAGCAGCACTAGCTGACAGCTGATCCAGCTATCAGACAGCAAATGACCCTGAGAATGAGGAAGAAACAGCAGCCCTGATGAAAAGAACAAGGTGTCTGCAGGCATGGAGGTACAGTGAGGTCATGGGAGAGGCAGGAAGTATTGTCGCTGATAATACCAGGCATAGAAAAAAGTCAGTAGCCATTGCTCTTGTAAACTTCTATGGCTTTGAATTATTATATACCTATTTTTTTAAGATCACTCTAGCAGTAGTAATAGCAACCACCGAATGCAGAATTGGGGGCGGGGAGGGTATTGGTTCTTGATTTAGAAAAAACCAAAATGTACACATCCTAAAATATTTACCAGTGATACAAGTCTGTGACAGCAAAACATCTGATTAGGAATAGAAACAATTCTCTAGAAAATTGTCATAGATGTGAGTAATGAACTAGTCAAAGAGTGAGCATATCTTCAGTGACACTAGCCAGGGGGAATCTGGTATTAACATTTATAATTAAAAAGAGAAAAAATAAAGTATGTAGTGTTGGGAGCCCAGTTATAGGCATGTGCTTCTACGTGAAGTATATGTGTTCCTTGTGAGAGAAATAGCAAATCATTGGTTGCAAACTAAGGCTTCTTGCTGGAAAAAAGAAACAAAGAAGTCTTTAACTTTACATAGTCTGAATAGCCCTATTAACATACATATGAAGGTAGCCAGTGTTGCCTGGGCTGGGAAAACTTGGTGTCTTTTTGAAATCACAAGCTGCTGGAATCAAAAGCTTGCTTGAGAATAGCAGCTTTTATTAAAAATAATGATTCCAGCCTTCAGGGTGGCTTTTCTATGTCCATCCCAGGGCTGAAGTCTCCACCCAGAGCTGAAGGTATTATAGAGACTCTGAGCAAAAGCTATTTTGTGAAGAGTTTGGGCACTTGGCAGGAACTGTCTATGAGAAAAAATTGCAATGATAGAATTTGGTGGGCAGGTGGAATTATTTTTAGAGTCTTTAAGCATTTGGGCTGGAAGTTTTTCATTTGATAGAGAGAGGATTTTATCAGGTCAGGTGCACTCCCATCTGGGAAACTGTATTTTGATGTAGTTATCAGGGTTGGATTACCCTCCATTGTCTGCACACACACTGCTCTTTTCTAGGAGATGAAATTCATTCACTCCCACAGGATCCGGTGCTACACAGTGACACATGCTTGCTGAAAAGCATGTCAGTGATCCCATTGATTTCACTTCATCTCTGTCACCGAGAAGGCATCAAAATGCTGTATTCTAGAAGGGGCTAGGTCTGGCTATAATAAATTGATGATGTCTGGGCTTTTTATAGCTATAAGCCTAAAGTCTGTTGCCTAAATCCATATTCAAAACCTCAATAAGGTAGCTGGCTATCAAAACTTTTGGGCATTTAAAGTAGATCCCCATTTTTGCATGCCCAGCATTTTTTAGATTTATCACTAACTGAAGTAACTGGATATGGACAGGGGTGCTTAACTTCAGGTTACATGTTTTGAAAATACTGGCTCAAGCATTTTCAAAATTTTCGCAGCACAGTAAAACCTTGAATTTCTGCCTACAGGAAAGGAGTGTGGAGAAGCCAGGTGTGAAGTGGATTGATATCACTTCTGGAGCTTCCCCCTGGCCCACCATGGCCTGACAGCGTGCTGAACAACATCTTCATCTCACTTCAAATCATCCTGGTAAACTCAGGGAAACGGCTGCTATGGAGCCAGTCACGTTTGAAATGCTGGCTGTGTATTTCACCAAAGAGCAGTGGGCTCTGCTGGACCCTGCTCAGACAGCCCTCTACAAGGAGGTGATGCTGGAGAACTATGCAACGGTGGCCTCGCTGGGTAAGGGTTCCTGTCTTCTCGGGTATTAGAGGCTGTGAGGGTCTCTGAAGCGCCTGGGCTTGGATTTTGCTGACGGAGCTTTCATGGTCACTCAGATTTCAGGGAGATCCAACCCCAAATTCTCTGATTGTGTGTGAGACATCCCTCCCAGGGAGCAGGACATTCAGGGCATTAATGATGGTCCTGCCCTTCCTATGGTCCTCCTCGTCCCTTCTCTTTCCCAGGGCAGGCTCCATCCCTGGGGGTCTCCTAACTCTCTGCTGTCAGGGATGGCAAGTGTGTCATGAGCCAAAACAGGGGGCTGATGTCTACATTCATTTCTTTTCAATCTTACCTGTGATACATCTCAGCAAGATGTATTACTGAGAGCCCCCAGGGGTCCCTGACCTTTCTGTCATATAGCAGTCATGGGGCTGGGATGGTTACAGGTAGAGCCTTCTGGGTGAGCTATGGTGCCAACGTATTGTTCCTCCTGGACAAGGGAGACCTCTGTGTTCCTCGTAATGAGGGGCTTGGGGGCTGAGTGGGGGGTTATGAAGTGGTTTGTGGTCTGGGAGCATTTAGTGAGGTATATGTCTAGAGTAGGAGAAAAGAAGGAAGGCAGGTGTGCTAGGGAAGGGCTGGCAGGCTATGGGCCACCACAGAAATGTGACCCTAGTGCTAATCTGTTGTGGCACCACCAGTGCAGGCTCTTTGCTGTCTGTGCTGGCTTGGGGTCAGGGGGTCTCCTTTGCAGGGTGGAGGTGGTGGGGGGCAACATTTCTTCTGTTTATTTTTGCACAGCTTGTGTTAATTAAACCATTCAAGGCCACAGACAGGAGTCAAGACCCCATTGTGCCAGGTGCTGCACAGACACAGGGGCAGGGGGAGATCCCACCCAACTCGCAGTGATAGTCACACTCTCAGCGATACCTTCCTGCATTGACATGTGGCAGACGGGGAACATAGGGATGTGTGCGGGGGGTGAGTGTCAGCAATAGAGACATTGTTATACCCCAGGCCAGGAGAGAGTAAAACAACTCTACTCAAGCCCTGGAGAACATGTGAGGGCCCATCCATGGGCGGCATGGATGAATTCTTGCTCCAGTTCAGTGCATCATGGGATTGTGGAGGACTTACAGCTCAGGTCAGGACCAGAAAGGAGCCTGTCTGGATAGGCTACTCTGATTCTAGATGCAGTAACAACCCCAGACTCAGTGAACAAGACTCTCACTTGTTTCCTTTCCCCCAAGCAGGATTTCTGATTTCCAAGCCCAGCCTGATCTCCCGACTGGAGCAAGGGGAGGAGCTGTGGGTCCAGGCCTGGCAGAACTACAAGGAAAGGGAGATCCCAGGAGACTCCAGCCCAGGTGAAGAATCAGCTGAGCTGATGAGGAGGCTGCGTTTTATAACTTCATGTCACATGTGGGTTTTCAGTCACCGCCACCCCCCCCCCCCCCCCCCCACTCCCCCCCCCCCCCACCCAGGAGTCTCCCCCCCCCCCCCCCCCCCCCCCCGCCCTGTCCCCTCACCTGCTACCAGAGGAGGCAGAATCCATCCACTCCTCCCTGCCCTGTGGAAAAAGGTCGGAGGGGTATTTTGCTACTTATTTTTACATCCCCCAGCAATAGTTTTGCTTGGTTCATCCCTGCCGCCTCCCACCACTGAGGTTCCCCCTTCCTGAAGAGCAGGGCATGACTCATGCCTGGATTCTCTCCGTGTCCCCGCAGGTGATGATCTGATGAGTGAGAGCGAGGAGGATCCCCAGCAAGAAGACTCTGAGCATGTAGCACTGCATGGAGAAGCACCAGGAAGGAACAAAGGGGCTGTTTCGCAGAGCCTGGAGCTCGGAGGAGACTGTGAGAGTCAGGCTAGGGCAGGAAGACAGCAGGAAAACCAGCTGGAGAAAAGGAGTGAATCCCCTCACAAGAGCAGAGTCAAAAAAATCAGAAAGACTCCTCCGAAAAGACTACCCACTGGGGATAGAGCTGACACCGGCAGTGACCCATGGGGAAGCTTTCACTGTAGGGCCACCCTTCATCTTCACCCAAGCCCTGACATGGGGGAGAGGACCAACAAGTGCCTGGACTGTGGGAAGAGCTTCAGCAAAGGCTCAGCTCTCAACCTTCACCAGAGAATCCACCTGGGGCAGAAACCCTACAAGTGCGGTGAATGCGGGATTGGCTTCACGCAGAGCCACCACTTCCTCTCCCACCAGCATGTCCACACAGGGGAGAGGCCCTACACCTGCCCTGACTGTGGGAAGAACTTTGGCCAAAGCTCCCACCTGGCGATCCACCAGCGCATCCACACGGGTGAGAAGCCATACGCCTGCCCCACCTGCGGAAAGCGCTTTGGTGACCGCTCACACTTCATCACCCACCAGCGTTCACACACGGGGGAGAAGCCGTACCGATGCCCCACCTGTGGGAAAAGCTTCGGGCGGCACTCCTACCTCCTCCTACACCAGCGCACGCACACCGGGGAAAGGCCCTACAAGTGCCCAGACTGCAGGAAGGGCTTCAGCGACAAATCCCACTTCAATACACGCCAACGTATCCACACAGGTGAGCGGCCCCATGCCTGCCCAAGCTGTGGCAAGTGCTTTGGTGACCGCTCGCACTACAACAAGCACCAGCGCATCCACACAGGCGAGAAGCCCTACCAGTGCCCTGAGTGCGGGAAGCACTTCCGCTGCCGCTCAGACCTGGTTATCCATCAACGCATCCACACGGGGGAGAAGCCCTACCCATGCCCTGACTGCGGGAAGGGCTTCAGCCAGAACTCACACCTGATTTCCCACCAGCGCATCCACACGGGGGAGAGGCCCTACAAGTGTCCTGAGTGTGGGAGAGGCTTCACACAGAGCCCGCACCTCATCTCACATCAGAGGACCCATGCAGGAGTGAAACCCCACAAGTGTCCTGATGGCAAGTGGGTGAAGTAAACAGTCACTTTGCTGGTTCCCCAGGCAGTCAGGAAGAGCCAGCACAGTCCCCTCATGGGGACCTGCAGCAGGTGCATGAGTGGAGGAGGAGATCACCTCCCTGGAACAGAGTTCTGCAGAACAGGAGACAGAGCCCATTCCCACACCACAATGAGCTTTGTCGTTGCTTCTCAAGAAGCCCCAGATGTTGCCAGCTCAGCCCCTGCATATAAGTTATATTTACCCAGGGCCACAGGGTGCTCCTGGGTTCTTTGCTGATAGTAGACCGATAGCCTCTCCTATAATGGCATCCAGGAATCTTGTGATGAGACAGTCTGTCTCATCACAGCAGGCCACGATCTGCCCTCAGTTCCTCTTGCCTTTATTACCTGATAGTCAGGGCTTGTGAAAGAAATTTGAAGGCTTGGTACCTCCTTTTTTGGGGGGTGCTACTTCCAATTTTGGAAACAGGAAATAGTGTGATCTGATTTTTGGTCTTCTTCTGTTCTTGGGGTCTTGGTACCACTGTACCCCATTTCTCCTGGACTCCAGCAATGTGATGTATCCAGATGCAAGGCCGTTGTTCTTAGGAAACTCCAACCAAAACAGAATGCTGTCCTTTGTCTCCTGAGTGAAGCAGTTTATCTTTCTGCATTCGGTCTGTCCCCTGCTCTCTAGGCTGGCTTCCACCAGACAAATCAGATTAAGATCAGGTTCTTGGGCCTTATCTTAAACCTCTTCTAGTATGAGCTGGGCTCAGGATATCTATATGCCTACTAAAATTCTGGGATGAAGACTGTGATATCCCTCTTTTGTTCCTCTGGCACAGTGGAAGTCTATGTAATAAAGAAAGCATACATCTAGGGAGGGAACAAAGCCTTCTTATAGGCCAGTCTAAGGTATGAAAGGAGCTCCCCTGGGAGCTAAGCATCACCTTCCTCATCACACCAACTATGAGACATGTATCTCTGATCTGGCCTTCTCTGCCCTATTGCATAGTGTATAATGTGTCTATTGAGAGAAACAGAAGACACCACACTGCATGCACTTTTCTGCCTATGGAGAGGATGAAAACAAACCCTTTGGCCCAGGTCTTACTCTACCTCTCAGGCACCCAAGTGCAATCCTGTTCCACCTTGCTTGAGTCCCTGAAAAGCATTTTGTGACTTAGTCTCACAGTGAAGATGATGGCACATTGCAAAAATAGATGCATTACTGTTTTTTTCTGTAACAAGTCAAGTAGAATAGGACCACACTTGAGCACCTAAGATGTGGAGTAGGGTCTGGCCCTATGTGACTGATGTTAGTTGTGCTGTTCTTTGCATCCCTGAAAGGTGCTCAGGCAGAGCAATTACAGGGCCAGTGGAAGAACCTTTACACACAGAAAAGATGTTTGATACAGCCTACCTAAGGCTATTGTTATTTCATCAGCTGTGACTTTTGGTTTATTACTGACAGTGTCTTAGTTAATAAAACTGATGTGTTCAGTAGCAGTGAGGTTTAGATTCAAAAGGCAATGTCTTGACCTCAGCTCTCGGCACAGAGGTAGCACAATGGTTTATTTGTGCTTTTCTTCCTTTGAATGGAGAGGAATAAAATGGATCAGAGTTTGTCTCAGAGTCCTTTATCTGGAGGGGACAAGAGGGCAGATCTTATTTGGAGAATTTAGTTCTCTGTACAAACTGCTTTTGAGCTGGATTGTTCAGCCCTGGGGAGAGAACAAGCCATGCAGCTGGCTTTCAAAACTCCTAAGGCAAGAAAGAAAAAAGATAGCCTGGTGCTTCTGGGAGGACCTGACATAATGGGTCCCTGATCTTGACCACTGTGGCACAAGTCCCACTCCACCTTCAGTTGGGCAAGTAGTATATATGCAGCTAATTTAGTTTTTAGCTCTTACACCGCTCCTTGAGGAAGGCATAATAACTCTATGTACACACAAAATGGAGAAGAAGGAGGGCACTTCCGCCTGCTAGCCCAGGAGACTCATTATTAGGGTACTTGCTGATGGAATGGGGAGCTGCAGATTCTAGGTGCTCCCATCTAGCTCCCAACCTCAGTTTTTCCTCAGTTTCAGTTTTTGTGTGATGTTGGGCAAGTCACTTGGGCTTGGATCCTAAAATTGAGGGTTTAGGTCTGGTGCTGCTCCTCCTTCCCACTGGTATTAGATGCCAGGGAAAGTACCTAGCTCCCCTGAAGAGTGATTGGTGACACTTGAGGTGCCATGGACTAGGATTCACAACACCTGGCATGCCAAACACAGAGGTGGCTGAAGCCAGCCAGCCAATAGGGAAAGCTGAAGAGGCGAGTGTGTGTGGAAACACCCATCTCTGTCTCAGTCTATGGTCCCTCCCTCCTTGAGTTCAGTGCTGCTGAGATCCAGAGCCCCAAACTACTGCCCAGCTACAGGTGCCAAAGTCAAGGGTGATGCCAATGCCCAGCTTTTGCATAGTGGCTTAGTGTACAGAGCATTACTCAGCAGACCATTTTTTTAATTTAATTTTTCTGTATTCCCAGCCAAATCCATTCCAAATCCATGAGTCAGTGCAGAACCATAAGTGGCCCTGCTACCAGCAAACATCCTCCACCCCCATCTGGGGCTTCAGATGTTCCCAAAACCTTTGTCGAGCATCCTTCTTGCAGGCCCAAGCCCGGAGGCTTGGGGTTTGGATGCCCCGAGTTTTGTTTGCCCTTAGCCATAAGGCCCCAGGAGCAAGCTAGGGAGGAGTCCCCCATTTTCATAAAGTGGGCATAAAGCCAAGGTTAACTGTGCATCACCTCTGCAGGTACTATCCCATACCAGCAAAGCAGTCTTTCCGGAGTGCGACTAGGAAGCCACTGTGGTGATCACGGTATTTCCCCTGGGTATGCAATGGCTGCACTTGATCTGAGCCTTCAAGAGACCAAGAAGCAAGCCATTAACCTGGATTTTAAGATCATCTCAGCCTAAAGAGGTTTAAAAACTACATCTTCCACCTCCCCACTGAGTGCTCTAAACACTGCACTGTGGGCTAAGATAACACTCACTATCCTTCCTGATGAAGTGGGGACTCTCACCCCACAAGGAATGTGTGAAGTTCCTTACTTTGAAAGGAATACTGAGACTTACTTTTCTCCAGGCCTGAACAACAGGCTGTTTTATTCCAGAACAACAAAACCAAAACCTGGGAAAGTAGAATTAATTCAGAAACAACATAGGGCAGAGCTCTAGCTCTCAAGCTCCATCCCATAATAATAAGGACTAGCAATTTAGCCCTATAATTGCCCAGTTACTACATTCCTCCCCTCTTAATTTACAACCTGGACATAAACTTTCAAATAACTAGGAGCTCTCCATTCTCTGGCTGGATAACGGCCCTCCAGACTAGGAGAGAGAGACTATGTGTCTGTCTCCAGCATCTCTGCTCTCCGGACTAGGACTCTGTGGATATTTCCAAATTACTGGGCTCAGAATTTTCAGTCATTCTACCCAATTCTGGGTCCTCCGAAAACCCATCCTTCTCAGGTAATGGCTCCGGTCCCTCAGGTAGGTTGGTTTGTAAGCGGATGTGGTCCTGATGTCGTCTCACCATTTGGCCATCACTGACTAATTTTAAAAGATACGGGTCCTGTTTGTTCTTGGATCCTGCCTGGAACCCAAGTAGGTTGGCAGGTACTGAAATTTATTGTGTAGACAGGATCAGGCACCCCCAAAACTCTCTTTTTAACGTAATAGTCATGGTTGTGTTTTTGAAGGGTCAGTTTTTTCCACACTTCTTCCTCCATATTGGGATACAGTAAATCCAAATGAGTCCTGATCCTCCTTCCCATTAATAGCTGGGCAGGGCTCATGTCTGTGGTAGTTTGAGGTGTGACTTGATATTTTAAAAGGAATCGAGCCAATTTTGTCTCCAAACTTCCTACGGTCATTTTTCTCATCCCTTCTTTGAAGCTCCTCATGGCTCTCTCTGCAAGACCATTCGAAGCTGGGTGGTATGATGATGTTTGAATGTACTTAATTCTATTTTTACTAAGAAACTCCTTAAATACACGACTAGTGAAATTTGGGACATTATCTGTAACCAATACCACAGGCAATCCATGTGTGGCAAAAGTCTGTCGAAGCTTATCACAGGTTGCTTCTGAGGTTGTTGAGTTCATGGGGTGCACTTCCACCCATTTTGAATGAGCATCTATTATGATCAAAAACATTTTTCCTAAATAAGGGCTGGCATAGTCTATGTGCAGACGAAATCAAGGCTATCCTGGCCATTCCCAAGGATGTAAGGGTGCTTGTTGCGGGAGGCTATTGATGTACTTGACATGGGGGGCAGTGCTTGACATGGGGGGGGCAGTGCTTGACCTTTTCAGATCTTCATCTAGGCATGACCACCCCACATAGCTGCGAGCCAGGGCTTTCATTTGGGAAATTCCAGGATGGGCCTCATGTTGTTTTGCCAGCACTTTCTGTCGTCCTTGAGGGGAGACTACCGCTGCATGCCCCACAAAACACAGCCATCCTCTATGCTCAGTTTGGTACTCCTGGTCCAAAAGGGCTGAAGTGCTCCTCCTGGATTTTGTCTTGGTCAGCCCTGTAAGGTGTACCGCATTGCCCCAGACAGGACAGGATCCTGCCTAGTCCACATTTTGATCTGAGAAGACTTCATTAGTACAATGGGTGTTGCCCATTCAGCAAACTGCACAGGGGAGATGATGCCTTCTAGTTCCAGTCTAGCCGATTCTGTTTCAGTTCTCTCTCTGAGCACATATGGAACTGGCCTGGCTTTGAAACACTTTGGCTGGCTGCCCTCCTGGGTATAAAGCCTAGCCTTTATTCCCTTCAATGTACCTAACCCCTCTTGGAATACTGCAGGGTAGGCCCCCAGGATTTCTTTTAGGGTGGGCATTTTCTGTAAGTCTAATTTACATATTTCTTCCCAGCCTAGTCTGAGTTCTTCCAGCCATGTCCTACCGAACAAGTTTGGCCTCTCTCCTTTTATTACTAAGGCCTTTAAGGTTTTCTGTTGTCCTTTATAGGTAACAGGGACACTTACTGATCCTATTACTGGGATGTTTTCCCCAGTGTAAGTCTTTAGTTTTGCTCTTGTCTTTCCCAGTGGATTCAGGCCTGCTTTACACTGTTGAGAAGTCTCTTCATTAATTACAGATCATTTAGCTGTACAGTTACTCGATAAGGTCCTACTTTATCTTCCATTACACGACATACAGTGTGGACCTCTTCATCTGCCTCTTCTCCCTCTTCCTCCTGTATGTGATAAGCTTTTTGCTTTCTTCTTTTTAATTTGGCCTGACCTTATTGTGCAGCCAGATGGCCCCCTTTGCATTTTTTTGCTAAGTGTCCCATCTTTCTGCATTTATGGCACTGGGATATTTTGTGTCTGCAAACTGAGGCTGAATGCATGCCTCCACAATGAAAACAACTTTCCAGGCCTCTAAACCTTTGTTGAGAGCTTTGCAATTGGTTTATTGGCTCATGCTGAGTTTCTTAATTGTTGAGATGTAAATCCTGTAAATTTTTCACTGCTGCTTTCATGGCAGTGGCCACCTTTACAGCTTTGTCCCAGGTCAGGTCCCCATCTGCAAGTAATTGTTTTTGGATTTTTACATCACCCACTCCAAACCAAATCTCTCTCTCAACATATCCTCTAGGATATTCCCAAAAAAGCAGTGTTCAGTTATCTTTTTGAGCTCAGCAATGTACTCTAAGATCGATTCACCTGCCTTCCTCCGTCTGTTATGGAATTTGAAGCGTTCTACGATAGTGTTTGGCTTTGGAGTATAATGTTCAGATAAGATCTTTTGCAGCTCCGCCAAACTTTTATCTCCTGGCTTTTGAGGTTGCAACAAACTTCTTAAGAGGGAATATGTTTTGCTGCCACAAGCACTGAGAAATATCGCCGTCCTGTTTGTCCCCATCAGTGATTTCATTAGATTGAAAATAATGGCCCAATTTCTCAATATATTACTGCCAATCCTCAACGTCTGGGATAAATTCTGCCGTTTTCCCATAGGAAGACATAGTTAGAAATCCCATCCTCATTGCGACTGTTAAGTCCCTTACTTTGAAAGGAATACTGAGATTTACTTTTCTCCAGGCCCGAATAATAAGACTGTTTTATTCCGGAACAACAAACCAAAAACTGGGAAAGTACAAGTAATTCAGGAACAACAGAATCCTAGCTCTCAAGCTCCATCCTACAGTAAAGACTAGCAATTTAACCCTATAATTGTCCAATTACTACAGAATGCAAAAGTCATGGGGCCAGAAAAGAGCATAAGGAGAGACTCATTCACTCTGTATCCCAGCAAGGAAGGTGCTGTCCTGGGAGGGAGCCCTGGGCTCTGGGACTGCTTGTGCATGTTGCATTAGATAGCCTTTGGGCAGAAGACATTAAGAAGCTCTTGGTCCCCACCCTCTGCCTCCCTCCTGCCCCGAGAGAGCAGGTCTGGGCCCAGTGCAGCAGGGTGAGGGCAGCAGCCGCAGCAAGGGCCACTGCATTTCCAAGTCACCCCAGCAAGGGCGTGAGGGCAGCCAAGCAGCAACCTGTGCTGGGAGCAACATTGAGCAGCGCAGCACGAGCCACCCTTTTGATCCGAGGGCGGACGAGGAGCCACTTTCATTGCCTGTGTCCGCCAGAGGGCCCTGCCAGGGCTGAGGGAAGGAGGCGGCTCTCTCCCCCTCCCTGACTTTTTGCTCAGCAAAGGGGAGGCAGAACTTCCTGGGTCAAACGCTGCTGTTGTTGCTGCTGCCTCCATTGTGAGCAGCTGCTGCTCCCACCGTGGGGAGAGACTTGCATTGCAGCCCAGTCCCCCAGTGGCAGGATCCACCCGGGCTCTGCCAGCACCAACTCCTGAGCCGGGGACTCCAGGTAATGGAAAGAGACCTAGGGAAAGTGCTAGCATAAGCAGCACAGGGGCTCTGCACCCACTGCCCCTTTGCACCCATCACCACTCCCCAGGGTCTGCAAGCCCCAGAGCTGGTGCCCTCACTGGCACACATACGGGCTCTTGCTTCTGGGAGTGCTGGCAGGAGCTGACCTAGCTATCCCCCTGGGAGTGAGACTCACTAAGTATTGCATCCAGTGGTGAGGGGTTGGCGGAAGAAGAAAAGGACACTGCAATGAGGCAGCAGGAGCAGTCAGTGGGCAGGGAGGTGGCAGGCTCCAGCCCAGCCCAGCCCAGCCCAGCCCCTTTCCCTGCAGTCTCCTTGGGCAGAGTCACTATCCCATGCCCAAGGCAAAGAGCAGAGAGAGGAAAAACTAATCCCTGTCTCTGTCCAGTCTCCACACTGCTGTTGGGATGGGGACAGCATTGTGGGACTCTCCAAAGTCACTTCTCTTTCATTGCAGCTGAAGCTGACTGTGACACTGACAGTCTGTGCCAGTGACACAAGGTCCATCTACCAAGCCTTCCTCCGTTTCCCTGACATACGGGACGACAGTGGAGGCAGCGCCGGTCTGACCCAGTCTGGCAGTTCCTATACGCACATGCAGGTTCGACAGTGCCAGGTCTGATGTGGAAAGTTTGTGGAAACACCACTGAGCCAGTACTTAAGAAGGGGATGTGAAAATCATGTTACCTTCTACAGGCAATTACAATTTTTTTTCTAAGACTTCAGATGCCTTCAGAATTTGGTTTAGGATGCTAACATTTGACCGAGGGAGAATTCCTAGGTCAGACACTCCTCTCGCTGTTGTCTGGGAAATATTTGTTTTGATATAGATGTATTATAAGGGTTGAATTAGCCTCCAACCTACATATATGCTGACATTTTCATTCAATAAGATTTACTAACTTAGCAAACTGTTCTGCAAACCCTAATGCACATGGTTGCCTGTGGGAAGGCATAGGGTGCCACTGGCTTCATTTTAACTGCTAATACTGGAAGGACTGGGAAAATAGTGTAGTGTAGTGCAGTGCTGTTCAACTTGGGTGCCTCAGCACCCTGGGGTGGTGTGAGATCCTTTTAGTGTCACTGTGCTGCTCCTGGCTGGCGCTGCCCTGCTGCGCCCATTTCTGGGAGATTCTGGGAGGGCCAGACCAAGAAGCAACTGAGGCAGGAGGGGTTGTGCTGTTGCAGCCTTGCTGGACATCAAGGCTGTTGTGAGGCAGGTGCTGCTGATGTGAGTTTTACACTCCAGGACTCTAAAGCAAAGTAAGAATCATCACTCCAATCTCAGACCCAATAAATGCAGCAATATGCCCATGTGTTTTCAGTGGTGGGAGAACTCCTTGTTCCTTTTTTATTCTCCTTGCTTTGAAGCTGGGCAATCTTTAGGCTGCTCTGATACTAGGTTTGCTACTGCAACTTATAATCAGGCCTTATTTCCAACTCCCTTTTGGGTACATACAATAAGCCTCTAAGAGGCTGGTGAAGTGCTGCAGCAGAATAAAAAGCATACAGCACTATGAAAAGTGACTCGTTTAACTGCAAAACAAGGAGTAAGCAGGTGTTAGGGAGAGACCTAAGTTCTCTTGAGCTCAAAAATTCATTTGGGAACTTTGAGGAGATGTCTGCACATAGTAATGGAACTAGAAGTTTGCTGGCAAGAACTATGAATGAAAATCTGGTCGGGTATGTCTCCCTTGCATGGGGAAAAGGAGGGGCTTCCTTTGCCTACAGCCCCAGAGTGCTGCTAAATTCAGTAAAGTGATGGAGGGGTGCTGAGAGTCTAAAAAGATTATGAACCACTGCTTTAGTGAATTGGGATGTGCTGGTGATCATCTGTAATCAGTGACCATGTTAGGCTTCCTATACCAGGCACTAAAATTGGGCTCCTAAATCAATATCCAAGTCTATTATTTTTGGCCCACTTATTCATGGGCTGATTATGCATAGTTCTGAGCACTCAGAATTTTGGCCTGAAGTTGCACACGTAACAGTCTTGACATACAGGCCATCAGCTGAAACACCTGAACACAGATGTGAGAACCTAGCCCTAGGCTTTTGTTTCTGAATATCTTGCCTCAAGTATTTCAGCAGCACAGCAGAGCCCAGAGCTTGTATCTGTTGGGAAAGAGCTTGGGGGAAGCTAGGTTGTGAAATAGGCAGAAGCCTCTTCTGGAACCACCTTAATTGCCTTTCTTGATTTGACAGGTGGCAGAATAAAATCCATGTTTCACCCCAGATGGTCCCAGCCTCCCAAAGAATGGAGAGAGGGTGTAGCTGCGGTGGAGCTGGTGGCCTTTGACAAGGTGGCTGCATGTTTCCCTAAAGGGCAGTGATCTCTGCTGGACCCCCATCAAAGAGCCCTCTGTGGGAACAAGATGCAGGAGAACCATGAGACTATGGCCTCGCTGGGTAAGGATTCCCATCCCCTAGAGCAGGAAGTCTCAAGTATACAGCCCACCGAGGTGGGTCATCTAGCTGCCGTCTTCTCCCAAGGCCAGAATGGAGGAGTGGGGGCCAAAGTTGCCAGCTCATGGGGTTCACATGCCCTTTGCAGCCTCACACCACTGCAGGGAGATGCCTCAGCATGGCGCCAATTGCTACTGCCATTAAATTTAATGTTTCCCTTTGCTGACAGCACTCGGCTAAAGGGTGGAGCAACAACAGACGCAGTAAGAGCCACACTGCCGCTTCCTCCCACAGCAGCATGAGACTGAGAAGAGGATGAAAATCCATGTTAACCCCCTGTAGCAGGGGGCCTTCTCAGGGGCAACTTGCCTTTGGCCTGCCCACCTGTTTCTGAGCCAACTGCCTGCCTTCTCGCCTGCCATGCCATGTTATCTAATTAATGATCTTAATTAGGCGGGAGGCTGCCCATTTCTTGCCCTGATGCCAGGGGGCGCTATCTGTGGCTCTGTTTCTCCCCTACACCACAGCCCAAGCCTCACTGATGGCATCCACTGATGTTAATTTCACCAGCCCCACATTGGGCCCCAAAATCCTCCAGTTCAGACCCCAGCTGGATCCCTCCACTCAGGCAGCCTACCCCACCCTCATTCAGGGCTGCTTAGCTTCCTGAAACTATTTCTCCTCTCAGGTGTGATCCCCCCGGGACCCTTGGCCACACTGGCCCTGGCCTCACCTCCAAGGCCAGTCAAAAACCCCAAGCCCTCATCTCTGGGCATCCCTTGCAGTGGGCCCCTGGCCCTTTTGACTGGTCTGGTCCTGGCCCCAGCATTGACCAGTTGAGGGTACTCTACATCAGGCCTCTGAGCCTCTAGCCCCACCCTCTCTTGTGGGTCCGGCTTCTGGCCCCTACTAGGGGTTAACCCACCGGGTTGTGGGTGCTGGGATTATTAAGGCACCCCGACTGAACTGCCTTTCACCGGGGTGGTAACTGGCCTGGCATTGCCTGGAGGCTCCCAGCCCACAGAGCCTCACCAGGCCACCCACTCCCGACAGGGTGCAGTTTTAGGTCATGCCCAGGACCAGGAGCCTCCAAACCATCCCCTACAGCTCCTGCCCTTACCTCCAGGATGTTTCAAGCAGTTTTGTAGGCAGGTGATGTTACTGCCTGCCTGCCAGCAGCAAAATGCTCTGTGTATATGGGCAGCCAAAGATCTAAAATAGCCACCGCAATCAAGCACCTGCTGACTGCTTGGCTCAGGTCTTGAAGTGGCAGAACCAACAGTGCCCTGCCACACCACCAAGTTGCTGGCTGTACCAACACACACCCCCTGCTGCCCTTCCTCCTAGAGATGTGGCAGGGCTTCTTGACCCAGCTGTCAGAGCCCTGGCAAGAGATGGACTTCTAGCAGCCCCAGTGCCCTGTGGTCAGTGTGGATGTGGCCTGCAAGCACCTGCAAAGCAGGGAATGTGGCCCACAGACCAATTTGATTTTGACACCCCTGGCCTAGAGAATTAGGAGCTGCAGTGGATGGTGTCTCTGAAGCAACTGATCCAGCTTCCATACAGAGCTTGTCTCTGCTTTCCCTGCTTTCAGGATCTGATCTCCTGAAGTCCCCAGATTCTGGATGTGTCAGGCTGACCTTTCTCATCTACTCCCCTGGGTGAGGATGTCTCTTCCAAAAACTGAGGCTCTCAGGTGATACATGCTCCATGTACCCACGCCTCTTGCCAGGACACTCTTCATTTTCTTTGCTGCCTTGGTAATGGAGCCTCGTTCTGCCTAAGTGCTGTCTGCGCAGTCTGCTCTGTGTCTGTGGGGCACAAGGTGGAGGGGAGCCAACACCAGGCATGAAGTGTCAGTCAGCTGGATACCTGTAAGGGCAGAGCAGACCTCATGGGATGAGGAAAGGCAAATCTATTATGGCCACATGTGTAGAGGCTGTTCACTTGCTGCACTGGGCTGGGGCAGATGTCTAGTGACCTCCTTTCTTGGCTGTGGACATTGTTTCCCTTGTGTATTTCTGCATAGCTTGTGTTAAGGCAGCACCTTGTAGCCCCAGTCAGGAATCAGGGTCCCATTTTGTTGGCAGTGGTGACACTTAGGGAGTGCACAGGGGTGCATGTGCACCCCCTGAGAGCACAGGTGCACCCCTTGACCGGCCACGCTCCCCGCTGAGGTGATGGGTGGGGTGGGGCAGGAGGGAGTGCTGGTGTCCCCCTGTGAGTGCCAGCCAGGGAGTGGGAGCACTGGATGTAGCACCATGGCCGCTTCCAGGTGCAGCACGGCTACTTCCCGGTTGGTGAGTTTTGCTGCAGGGGACCCCACCTCCCCCCTCCCGGTTGGTGAGATTGGCCGTGGGGGGAACCCCCCCCCCGGTCACTGACTGGTTGCTGGGGGGGCACATGCCCTCCCTAAGGTGGCACCAGTTGCTCATGTCTGTTGGTCACTGCACAGCCAGAGAATGAGGGAAAGTTCCTGCCCAAAAAGCTGGCAGTCTTGCTGACCTTCCTCTCATGGTGTGGGGCAGGGAGGGATATAAGGTTTTGTGGGGGATGAAAGAGGAGGTGATTATCAGTGATGGAGATATTATTAACTCCCAGATACCTATTAAGTGGAGCCTCCCTACTCAGCTCCCTAGGATAGCCAGTGAGGGCCATTCCTTAGTTAGAGAGGACAAACCCTCACTTCAGACCAGGGCATCATGGGATCCTGTAAGACTCATAGCCCAGTTCTTGTAGATGGTGAGTGGGCAACTTGGTAATATCACTGGATACAATGACTGCTCAGGCCTCACTTGTTTCCTTGCTCCAACAGCTGATGGGAGGGAGAACAAGGAGATTACTCAGCAAGAAGGACCTGAGCAAGTGGAACTACGCAGGGCAGAAGTGAGAGTTGCTGAAAGGGATGCTTCCCAGGCAGTGCGGTTGGAAGGGGTCCCTGAAAATCAGTGCAAGCCCAAGAGACTGGAAGGAAACTGCGTAGGGGAGAAACAGGGAAAATGCACTCAGAAGAGCAAAGGGCTCAGGAAGCTGAATGGCCCTGTCCAGGGGAGAGTCCCCGGTGGAGATGGGCCCACCATATGCAGTGACTGTGGGAGGAACTTCTATTGCCGGTCCGCGCTGGTGACTCACCAGCGCATCCACACTGGGGAGAAGCCCTACCAGTGCCTGGACTGTGAGAAGAGTTTCCGCCGGAGCTCGCACCTCATCTCGCACCAACGCACACACACGCGAGAGAGACCCTACCGCTGCCCCGACTGTGGGAAGAGCTTCAACCAGAAATCCAACCTCCTCATCCACCAGCGCATCCACACAGGAGAGCGGCCCTACCAGTGTCCTGAGTGTGGAAAGAGCTTCAGCTACAGGTCAGTCCTGATCATACACCAGAAAACCCACACGGGCGAGAAGCCCTACAAGTGTCCTGACTGCGGGAAGATCTTCAGCCAGAGCTCAGACCTCACCAAGCACCAGCGCGTCCACACGGGCGAGAAGCCGTATGCCTGCACCGAGTGCGGGAAGAACTTCAGCCTGAACTCACACCTCCTCTCGCACCAGCGCACCCACGGAGGGGAGAAACCCTACACCTGCCCCGACTGTGGCAAAAGCTTCAACGACAGCTCCAACCTCATCACCCACCAGCGCATCCACACGGGGGAGAAGCCCTATAAGTGTCCTGACTGTGGGAAGAGCTTTGGGAGGCTCTCACACCTTCACAGGCACCAGAGGACTCACACAGGGGAGAAACCCTACACGTGCCTGGACTGTGGGAAGAGCTTCAGCGAGAGCTCATCCCTGATTAGGCACCAGAGAGTCCATATCTGAAGTGGGGGGAATGTCAGGGGGAGTCCCTGAAGGATGAGGGCACACAACAGGTCCTCTCCAGAGCATTCTCAAATGACTTCCTAGGGCTAGGAACAGACGTTGCATTTGTCCTAGCACAAGGTGTGCCTGTGCTTGTCCTAGAGCAGAAATATCCAGGGATTGACAAGAACACACATTACCCTTCCAATCAGGGTTCAATGAGCAGTTGAATGCATTGTCACTCTTCTGCCATTGATGCACAGGCTAACTGTTCAGACACATTTTGTGATGTCCTAAGACAAACTGTTAGCACTTCTTATTCCATGAACCTTTTTAGGACAGCGGACATGGATTTCTGACTATTGTGCTTTTCCTGGAATAAAATGACTTCTCCTGGGACAAATGCGTTATTTGTTTGCAACCTAAGAAAACAAAGCAGACGTGGGACACACAGCATTTTCTCCCAAGGGAATGCTCTTCTCTGCAATAAAGTTATTTCTGAGGAAATCAGAAGTTAATTTATTCTGGAGAAAGTTGCTCTAGTGTATGGGTCATGCACCCACTACTGCTGGCAATTTCAGGAGCCTATTTGCTCAATACAAACCCATTTCCCCACCACCTAGGGGCTGCAGTCGTGTCTACTTCAGGCAGCCAGGTTGGAAGAGCTGCTTGTATGTATGCTCCTTACTTTGGAGTAAATTTACTGCAGGGTAAAATTCAGGGGAAATTACAGTAAGCTTACCATGTCTCCACACCCTAAGCATCCCATTCGTGATGGCAAAGTAAATAATACTTCTGCCAGTTCCCACACATATCAGACAGTCAGGCAAGCCTGGAGAAGCCACCTAGCCTCCAAGATGCTTCTTAGGGCAAATAATAATTGTTGCCTTCCTGGACCAGAGTGGTGTAGAGCACAAGATCACAGCAGGATTCCTGTGTGGTGGAATGGATTGGTGGATGATGATGACTGCTTTTGAGAAGCTCTCTGCATTGCCTGTTCAGCTCCTGCGCTTACGGTTGGTGCTTCTCCCATGCAACTACCTTTATCAAATATGCTGTGGCTTCTGTTTTGTTCTTCGTTGTATCTTAGGTAATAATAATAATAATAATACCTTAAGGGGAAAGAGCAAACTCAACAGGAGTAGGAATGTGACATCCTGAGCTGGCTCCTTGGCAGTGTTGGAGATGAAGGTTGACTTTTGACTTCCTTATTTTGCAAAAAGGAGAAATAAGGTGAATCCAAATGACTTCAGACTCTCAGAATCTTATCTGAGACAAGAATATCAAGATGGGCCTTTCTGAGGTGTGGTGACACCTCCAAAGAAGTCTGTATATGGGTATATTTTGAACCATGCAGCCTAGGGTCTAGCAACTGTAGTTACACTGGAATTCTGCTCTTTATACCCTGTAGTTACCATGAATTGATAGACACGGAGCATGGAATTCTGTTTTCCTTCTCATGATTTTAGATGTGTAACTACTCCTTATATGCAGGCAGCAATCCTGTTTTCCTAGCAGTATAGACACATAAGTGAGTGTACATAGAGTAAGCATGTGCAGTAGGCTGTACACTGGCCAAGCACATGTGCAGCTACATACACATGCCCCTTGTAGATGCTTGCCAGTGTCTAAAGCACTGGTTCTCAACTTTTTCAGACTCAGGGCTCCCCTCATTAGACTCAAGACACCCCTCAGAAAATGCCAGCTCTTAGCTTTCATTGGATTACAGAAAAGAAATTGAGCAATTCTTCTGTTGCAAAGAACTCAGAGAGACCACAACAGGTCAGAATGTTTTTTATACTATGGATTCCTATTTGAAATCTCTGAGCTTACCTTGTGAGTCACGTGTAGGTGTTTGCACACCTAACAGTGCTAATATTGTGTGCCACCCTATGGCACCCTTAAAAGTATCTCACACCTCTGTGGGGTGGCCCTTCATCTGGTTGAGAATCATTAGCTTATGGGTCGAGTACTATGTTATGACATCAAAGAAATGGTGGTTTAAATACCCTCTCAGCAGAGTGGGAGAGTTAGTCCAGATCTTCAGCTTCCTGGATAAGTGCCCAACCCATTCAGCTCTTGGAGTCAGAGCAACCATAAGCCCTTTTTCTTTCACCCATTTTTCCAGATGTGTAATGGAGCCATGTACTCATGTAGTCTGTGTACTCAGGTGTTCATGTCAAAAACAAAGTGGGGGACAAAACCAGCCATGTACATGGCTTGAAAACTGCCCCTTGGACATGCAAAGGGAAATAGCATTCCACCCAGAATGTTTAACTAGGCAACTGGGTCACTGAGTATTGCCAAGTAGAGTTTCATACCAAGTGTCTTGGGTTTGCAGTTCTCCTGTTGGATGCATGTATTTGCTACAAAGTCCTGTAACCAGGAGACTAAATCAGTGATCAGATTATTTGTGCCTGCTTCACAGGGCTGGGGAACTAATCCTTTTACACCTAAAATCCAGGTTGGTATAATAAACTGCAGTTTCACTGTAATGCGATTGTTGTTTCCTTGCTCATCTACAAACTCTTTAAAAAATACAAAAAAGTCTTTTACAGTCGCACATGTAAATACTTTGAAGCTATTTCCTTCCTGTAATCTAAAAATACTCACTGCAATGAGTTTAGAACAAAAATGGCAATAATAAGTGGTTGCCTCATCAAGTTAATCTGCAGGGTGAATGAACTAGTGGGAGGCAGGGATGAAAAGATCACACTGTAATTGCAATCACAGGACTAGCAGGGGAATCCATTTTCCATTGCCTGAGTTTGCATTTGATAGTCACTGAACCTAAGCCTTGTCTCTGCTTTTTTTTGTTCTTCTTGTAAATCACTGTGGCCACACAACTCTATGCTTTTTTATAGCAATCATGCAACCTTCTGGGTAGGTGCCCCACAGTGCAATCAATATTTGTTGTTAAGCTGCTGAGCACCACAATTCTCACAGTCACTTGTATAAACCTGACTGCTCCACAGTCACAACCAGATAGCTTTGGTTGGGTTGTCATACAGCCACAGCAATGTTGTAGTTATATGGGTAGGCAGAGGACAAAACTGAGTGATGACAGTTAGGAGGCATTTTCCTGCCACGGCTTCAATCAGAAGCAGCACTGATGGGTGGGACAGGGCAGACCTGCAGCACTGGCAGTGGCCGGACTATAGGGTACAGAGAAGGGTGGAGATCTGAAAGTGGGCAGAGCTCCCCAGGGCTGGAGCAGCCAAGCACCAACACAAGAGTTGGCCTTGGCATGGAGAAACATAGAGACGTTGTCATCTGAAGCTTGCCACCCTGATGGAGAGAGGTCAGGCATGCACCTGTTTGATGCTGGTAGATCAAGCTCTGGCTGTTGTGGAGTTTCACTGAGCTGTGGAGCAGGCTCAGTTTGGTGGTACACCAGAGATCTGGTTGTTTTGTATTGTTGGGATTCCCAAATTATAGAGGAACTCTGGATGGATCTCTTATGCTTATAATTTGGCCCCTCCAGATTCAGGTCTCGTAAACAGGAAGAGAGATTTTTCCATGGTGCTGCAAGGCCTAGTTGATCCCCATGGAGAAGATTTCCCCCTGTTAAAATGTGCGTGTGCATGGGAGGGGGAGTCTGGAAAAGTCCCTGATGCCAGGAGCTTTAGACATGCAGCCCTGTTTCCTGCAATGAGAACGGGACCTTTTTACAGCATAGACTGATTTTCCCTACCATTCTGGAAACTGAAAAAGGCCTGGGAGACCCTTGGATGTGTGGCAGTGAAGCCAAGGGAAGTGACATTGGTCAATATAACTCTGGAGAAGTAAAGGAGCCACTGATAAACAGGCAAAACCATGTCTGAGGCAGTGCACTGTGGGATAGCAGTGGGAAGTCTGCCAGAGCTGTATAATTAATCTAAAATAGTGATGCACCCACATGAACCTCATTCTGCCATAATGCCTTCCAAAATAGACAATAGAGACATGATGCTTCAAGGTGGATTAGTTAGACTAGGATAAAATGCCAGATTACTTTAAAATAACTGAGTATGAATGCAAGGCAGTTTATGTCATAAGAACAAAAGCTGTACCTGAAAACCTTTCTTGTTTATTCAAGGCCTTTGTGACTGAAAGGCAATAAGAAAAAAAAGAACATTTTAAAAAGGAGATCTCATTAAAAAAAAAAAAAAAGATGAAAGGGATCCTCCCCTATTCTCCCATACCTCATGAACTTTCATCAGCTCTTATAGTCTACAATTTTGATAGAAGTGAGTTAAATCACTGTAATTTTGCCTGTGAATGAAGCAAGGTTAAAGTTAGAGAAGCTCTGCTGCACTTACATCACTATATCATACAGAGGTAGCAGTTTTATTGTAACAGCTTGTATCACTACCCTTTGATAATAAATGAAATAGTTATGTCTCCCTATACCCTGAGCTGAGAGAGATAGTTAGTCTGAAGTCAGTCAGAAGGCGGGGGAGATATGAACGTTTATAGACTAAGTAAATAAGGCAGATATGTAGAGCACAAGCTTTCATGAACCCAGGTTCAGCTCATCGGATGCTGTGAAAGGAGGTGCAGAAAACAGGGTGAGAGAGAGACACTGGAATACAAAAGAAAAGGGAGGGGGCAGAGAGAGAGAAAGAGGAGGGAGAGAGTGGGAGGCAGTGCTAGGAAAGAAAAGCAAACAGGCAGTGAATTCATAGGAACAAAGTGGGCCATAAAAGCTAATCCAGGTAATGGAATAAGAATCCATAGTGCCTGTTTAAACCATATTTAATGCAACCCAGTTTGTGGATGATTTCTTGGTCTGCACTTTCCTGTTCAAACTGGTTTTTAAAGTGTTTTTTTTTTTTTGCCTGAGAACAGCAATCCTGTGGTCAGCAATGGGGTTTCCAGGGGGGTTGAAATGTTCTGACACAGGTTTTCATGTCTTTCTTCAGCTGATGTCAAATTGTGGTTCATTCATTCTTACACATAGAGATCGCCCCATCTGTCCCATGCAAACTGCACGAGTCTCAGCACAAACAGCAATGCTTGTAGCACAGTCTAGTTGTTTGGTGTTGATTTTAATCAGTAAATATGTCTGAGTAAAAGCCACAACCAATTCTAAAGACAAGGAACTCACGTATATCAGCCAATGAGAAAACATGGGCAGTCCGTATTATGTATTTGCATAGGTCTTTAAAGACACATCTGTTTTGATGTTTAGATATTATCATACATTTGGCTGAAAAAAGAAAATTTCCTAGATGCAAGTTTTGTAAGATGTTTGACTTATTGCAGAGTATCTTCATTAAATGAAAGTGTTTCTAGTGGAATACCACAGGGTTCAACATTAGGCCAAGTAGTATTCAACAAGTTCGATAATGACCTGGAAGGAAACACACCAACATTTCTGACAAACTTTCCAGCTGCTTTGTAGCTTGGAGAAGTGGGACCTAATGAGGAAGCCAGGACAGTTGTACTGAATCACTTGGTCAGATGGGCCCATTCCAAAGGCGTGTATTTTAATTTAGACAAATGCAAGATTGTACATAGACAACCAAGGCCAGATGTTCAGGGATACATAGGGAATGTGCAGGCTGCAGCATACACAGACATACTGCTCAGCTCTGTGCACCATGTCTGCCGGACAAGAAGCAGGGTAGTCATGTCTGCAGGGTGCTGTGCCTGGGCTAGTTAGCGTTGCTTCTCAGTGGTGCAAAATTGACCTATCCCTACTTCCTGCCCCTCCCTATCCTGGGGTTTCCCCCTCTGCTTCTGTCTGGCAGTGCAGTTCCCCTTTTCTTCACCTTAGCTGCTGCCTTTATCCCTGATGATGCCCATCTTCCCCCTCCTTGCCCAGCTCCCTCCTGTTTGACCTTCCTGGAAAATCCTGCCCATCCCTTCTCTCTAATCCGCCCAGTTTTCCTCTCCTTTAGCATCTCAAGGGACACGTCAGACGACAAGGGAGGGCAGAGCAAAGCCAGCAGCTTCAGCCAATGTCATGGAGCATCCTCAAATCACTCTAGTGCACTGGGCAGCCGTAAAGTTGCTCATTTCCCTGCGCTGTAGCTTCTGAAACTTTATTTCAGCTCTGCTGACATCAGCTTGAGAGCCAGAGACTCCAGGTAATGGAGAGAGACCTGGGGAAAAGTGCTAGAGACAGGCAGGACAGTGATTCTCTGGACACAACAGCCCCAGGAGCCTCAGCTCTTGCCACCCTTGGGAAGCTGCTCCTTTGCTGTTAATGCACCTTTGGGAGGGATTGGAGCAACTGCAACAGTAGTGAGGCCATTGCCCTCACTGGCTCCAAACAGGATCTGGCTCAGGTGTGAAACTGGAAAGAATAATTCAGGCTGGGGAAATGGGATGGCAGGAGGACCACAGTCGTGCCTTGATGGGGCTTCTGTTTTGTCTTCCTGAAATAGGGTGAATGGAAGGAGTGAAAATACATCCATGATGGAGGGGAGAGGCAGCATGGAGGGTGACAGATTTAACCATC